AACGCGGTCGCCGCGACCGCAACCGGGCCTCCGCTAGCCGAGCTGCACAATACTGAGCTGACATTGGGCGACAGCCCCATTATGTGGGTTGTGCGGGGGGTGGGAGGGTCCGGTGTTAATTGCATCCAGTCCTCACCCCCGAGAATCCCCGAGGCAGCGGTGACGGCCCTATTATGTGGGCTGTGGGACGATTTTAAGTGGCGTCCAAGTGTTGCGTGCTTTTTTGCCCCAGGGGTGGTTTGCTCTGGAGGCCCAGAGAGGGTGGAGGTCCTACTCAAGTGCCTGCAGGGTGGGTGGTGGGGTGAGCGCGACTGTCGGGCTGAGCACGTGTGGTTGAGCAAATGTCGGTCAAGTGGCCACAGTCTGGGCGCACATGTGTGCGCGCGCGACGGAGGTCAAGTGGCCGCAGCAGCTGACGTTGTTATGCCGGAAAAAATCCAGTTTTTTGCCCATCACAGGCATACCATCGGCATAATTACACAATTGAACAGCCAAAAACCCGGCCCTATGCGCGGGTCGGATTGTGTCCAAATTTCAGCGCAATCGGTGCAGTACTTTCGGAGATTAGATATAACACAGAAAAAAAAGCCTTCCATTTTTATATATATAGATAACTTTCACTCTGTGGGATGTAACTGTTGCGATTCAGCGTTTTCGTCAATCTTATAGTCCAGGCCCTGCTGATGTCCCAGTAAGCATTTTAAAAGCCGATGCAAACACGATCTTCCCATCCCTCTTATGCAATCTATTTAATCTTGCTCTTGAAACTGAAACCTATCCTATCTTTTGGAAGGAATCACACATTCTGCCCATTCCTAAGCACGGAAAATCTACGTCATTTGATGACATTCGGCCAAGAAACACCCTCCCCGCAGTTTTGAAGATCTTGGAGACATCGATCAAAGATAAAATGGTGTGTCACTTAACAGTGAATAACCTACTGAGTGCTGCTCAGCATGGATTCCTCAAAGCTCGATCTTGTGACACCTGTCAGCTCTCTTTCTTTGACTATGTTCTCCAATCTAGGGACAATGGTTTTGCACTTTACACAGTATATTTCGATTCCACTTAGGCTTTTGATCGTGTTGACCATGCTCTTCTTCTCTTGAAATTGTCCTCTTTCGGAATAGGTGGCAAACTTTTGAATTTTATATCCTCTTACCTGGGCACTCGTACACAACGAGTTAAGATTTCCAATACCATCTCCAACCCCACACGTGTGAGGAGTTAAGTCATTCAGGGAAGTGTACTCGGCCCGCTTTTATTTTGCCCTTTCGTTAATGATGTACCCGATTTATTTCAGAATGGTAAGCCTTTCATGTATGCCGATGATCATAAAGTTGCATATCGATATGAGCCGGCAGATCGTGACATCGTGCTTGAGCTCCTAAAGAGCGACCTACAGGCTTTCGCCCAGTGGTGCCGCACATGGCGCCTTTCTCTTTCCTGGCATAAGTGCTCAGTCATGGTGGTTGGCGACGACCACCAACCTCAACTAAATATTGAAGGTCACTCCATAAATGTGCCCAGGGTTATAAAGGATCTGGGCATATCATACTCCAAGAGTCTCAATCTCTCGGAGCACTGTGCCTTGATAGTCTCCAAAGCACGCAGAACGACCGGGTTTATCCTGCGAAACTTTAAAACTAGGGACATCAGAATGCGCCTTTACAACATGTACGTTAGACCTGGTCTGGAATACTGTTCGTTTTTATTTAGCCTCATGCGTGCTTCTGAGCGGAAGAAAATAGAATCCGTTCAACACTTTTTTACCAAGAGAATTTTAACCCCAGGACGCCGACATTTGTCTTAACAAGAACGGTGCCGGCTTACGGTCCTTGATCCTTATGGTTCCGTAGATTAAAAAAGGGAATATTTTTGCTATTTAAACTCTTATATAATCACACATTTAACCCACTCACTTCTTTAAGACATCATATCCACCCACGACGTAACAGTCACCGTGAGGTCTTCTTATTTCTGCCTCTAGCACGTGCTGTTAAATATCGTCGGTTCTATTCTGTAAATGCAATTGCTATTTGAAATAAACTACCCATGAGTGTGAAAACTCTGCAAAATTATCCTTAATTTAAGAGAACTATTACTCGATTTTTGCATTCAGAAAAGCTTCCTCAAATTTTGCGTTCTGAATCCACTGATCGACTCTACCGTAGCGATGGCGCTTGTGGTCTCTGAACACTATGGCCGGTCTCACCAGCTGTTCCTCGACGCCTCTACTTCGACTATACCCAACTTCATGAAAGGAATTGACGTCCGATAATCTCCGATACCGTGCAACCCCCTCCCCCCTTTCTGGACGGTCGAAAATCTACCGCCAGCAGTTTTTTTCTCTCCTGAACCCTTCAGACCATAAAAACCATCATCAACTATATTGTTATTCTTCAGGAGTTTTTTTTACTACTGGTCGGATTTGTGTTTAATCGCTTCCCTTGGCAATGCCTGTAAACTGGCATTTAATAAATTAAATTAAAATTAAAATTAAATTAAATTAAACCCTGTGCACGTGGCACAGCGCACAGGGTCCCGTCACCTGGTTTAGCCCGCCGGTCGAGACGGTTGCCCGGGGTGTGGCCGCTGAGCAGAGTCCAGCTACGTGGAGTTACAGGTGGGAGTTGAGTGCCAGCAAGTGGACGCTAGGCGCAGTCTCACCTGCAAGCAAGTGAGCGACCACCACGACCATTACGTGAACCCACCGCTGTCACCCCTACACCCCACCATCTATGCAAAGTTTTAAAGAGAACCTTGACATATTTATGCACCGAAATGACCAAGACCGATGAGAAGTCGGGCTCATCCCCTTAGATTCACTCCCATATTTTCATACCATTATGAGGTCTTTTTAATTATTTCATTCCGCATAGTTTCTCTTTACACAGCACTCAGTTTTATGTTGCAAATAGGGTATTCGAAGTCTCACGCCTATTTTCCTCAATAAACTGAACTGAACGGAGATGACTGACCATGTGTTAAAGGAAACTATACTGAACGTATTCCTGAAATGCAGGCTACGCTCATTACTGCTTATTAAAAAGAAAGATGTGCGGTCGAAAAATGAAACTGTAAGCAGCAAGTTAAGGGAAGAATGCAAAATTTTCATGGTCTAAATTTGTTGATCTTTTGCTACTTACTGAGGATATAGAATGGTATGGTAATACTTTTGAGTAAGATCAATGGCGAAGAGTGCTATTCTGTTGGGTCGAAAAAACGGGAGGCACAACAGTGTGATTTTGAAAATACTGAGCATAGTGTGAGGGGTGACTGATATTATTTATTTGAAGGGCGTGGCAAGCTGTGGGGTTGGGGAAGTAATTAAGGAGATTGTTTACATACATTTTACATGCTGGTGTGTTTGTGGGCATCCCAGTTGTGATGCCTTCCTTAAATTGAAAATTCGATTTAGGAACAGGCAAAGATTTCCCTGGATTATTTTCTGCCTAATCTGGTTTTACCACCAGGCCAGACGTGAGTGGCCTGGCGTGGAAACGAGATGCATTCGACCCAGTTTTTTCGACTAAGACATCGTTCTGTGCCATGGGGGTCTATTGTGACTTAAGGGTTAATCCATCTTAACTGCTAACACCAAGCGGCCTAGTTGAATTAGAAGCGTCAGTTGAGCAATGGCCGCCTCTTGGGGATATTCCGGAGTGGTAGGTTTCAACTGAATCAGTGACAGTGTGCTCAGGTGAAGAGTTAGGTGGAACTAGAGCCGTCGCCGATACGAGAGGAAATTGGCTGAAGGATAAAGGACCTACCTCAGAAGTAAATTGCCGATGATCAGAATTCTTAGAGGGCTTTATGTTTGCATATGAGGGGGAACTCTGCAATCCATTAGAACTTAGTCCCAAATAATTAGGAACTTATTTCCTCCAAGATATTGAGCTGAGCGCTCCAGATGCAAGAAAATAAAGTCGTTTTCAATCGACTAGAATAATTTGACCAGAATGAATGCGTTTTTGTTCCTGGTTGAAGGTCTTTTAGCTTCAATGATCCTAAAGTTAAAGCCCAAAAAGCAAAGGAAATGGAAGGCGATATGGAGACGCTGTCTGCCTTTAGGAATATTTTTCAAAATAGTATTAAAGCTTTGCCTTTGCCTGTCTTCCGTCTCACTAGCAACAAGTTTGGTGAGAGGTACGGGCTTCTCACATTACTGTGAAGTAAGTGACGACATTTTTTCCTCAAGAAGTGAACCAAGAACAGAAGACGGTGACCCATAGTGAGGTATGCAGTTGTTAAAATTTTTGAATGCTCCAAGGCATGTTTTTTTCAGATTAATGATCAGTTTTTCACAAGAATTTTGAAATTTAGTTTCCCTTAAGATTTGACGAAGGGTTGCCAGAGGTTCCATGCTGGAAAAATGCAGACGAAAAATTTAGTTCTGACTTTCGGGATCGGCGGCTGCTAAAAATTCGAATATGGCTTTCAAAGATGAAATAATGTTGAAAATTAGACCTATTGGGCTTCGAAGTAGTAAATCTGTGGAATTTCGTTTTCTTTAGAGGGTTTAAGTATGAAGCCCTAAATGGGAAAAAACCTCGAAAAGTTAGCAACATCGGTAGATCGAACAGCCGAATTGTCGCTGATGCAATTTTTATTGAATAATATGATTTTCCGATAAAAAAACACAACTGACATTTTCTTGGGCAGCAACATAAAACTGTGAGTACGTTTTGGATTTACCGATGACACTATGTAAAACGGAATAAATGGCAGCATAATACTCTTAATGGTTGATTTATCGCTAAAAATAGTGATATTCAAAAATCATGCGAGGAAAGTCTCTTATGCATACGGATAAAACTTCACAGGAAAAAGGCTGTTTAGGACGAAAAAAATATTCCACTATATTTCTTCTTGCTGATAAAACGCCAAAATCCGGCTGTAAGCGTATGTGAAATACATAAAATAACAGGAAGCCCTAACTGCAAACAAACTATGCAAGTATTAAGAAATCCAGTTGGAATTCAAAAAATTTCATCAGAATGCGCGCCCTATACGCAGTCTTGGAGGCCAGACGTAAGAAAGTATTTTTTCGCTGTGAGGGTCATGGAACCATGCAACAACTTGCCCGAGCCGACTGTTATATCGCGTCCTGTGGAGAGATTGGAACATCGGCTCGGCGGACATATGCTGCAGCAACATGCATACTATGTGACTGCGTAACCACAAAAATTACTGACCTATACGAGTCCAGCTTGATGCTGTAAGTTCTTTACATTGTTGATAATTTTATGGATTTTTGTTCGACGAATATGGAGATGGAAGGCACAAAACTCATTGCATCAAATAAACTGAACTGAACTGAAAATTCCTCATACCACTAACACCACCACTAAACTTTCTCTGCTGTTTGCTGTCAGGTATACATCGATTTCATATTGACCCAACCGTGAAAAGCTCGGCGACTCGGTGGGATTCAAACCCACGCAGTAAGGGGAAGGCTTTAGTACACCCAACGATCCAACCACTTGAGCTACGAGGCGCCACCGGACGACGCGAGTTTAATCGCATTTGGGTCAAGTTACCCGCCCAACCTGCTGCAACGTCTGGAATCCACCAAATCTGATGCAGTATGTTGACTGCCCAAGCAGAATTTCTTAAGCCTAGTAGTCATGTGGTCTATTCTAGGTGAGTTACTTAGGAAATCCTGCTTGGTCAGTCAACATACTGTATCAGATTTGGTGGATTACAGACGTCGCAGTAGGTTGGGCGGGTAACTTGACCCAAATGCGATTAAACTCGCGTCGTCCGGCGGGGCCTCGTACCTCAAGTGGTTAGCGCGTTGGGTTTACTAAAGCCTTACCCTTACTGCGTGGGTTTGAATCCCACCGAGGCGCCGAGTTTTTCACAATTGGGTCACTATAAATTATTCAAAATGTGCCAAAATATCTATGAAATAAATCGATTTATAATAATATGTTTATCGATGTTAGCTTGCGAAATAGCCTATCCACTTTCGTCGAAACCTGTGTCTTTGGCTTAACACCGACTCGACTGAGCGTTCATTTTCCTTATCTTCCCCGAGCTGCATTCTCCATATCTCTGGAGATGGACTATCCTAAATTATGTCCGCTGCCTCGACCGCTGCCGCTGTCACCGCCACCGCCAAATTGCCTTATCTGCTCGCATTTTCCTCTGCGCAAGTAATTTTGCTTTATACGATCCTCAGGAGTAATCTCGATTTTTTCAGCCGATGCATTATCCTCGACAAAACGGGCCATCCTCCCAAACCAACGTCTCAAGGAAGCAATGAGGGCCATATTATCGCACACGCTCTCGACCGCCTCCCCTTCACTAGCCGCTAACCCTAATTGGAATTCCGTTCTGGTCACTGTGATGTCGAGATCTCACTTCAGTTGTTGGTCTCACACTGCGCTTGCCAATATCTAAAGTCCGCAGGCGCACTACAGTGATACCTTGTCTTCACCAGCTAAACTGTCTTCGGTTTTTCATCCTTCCCTCAAAAAGAACCTGATCTGCTCCTCCATATCCACTCCCGAAGCAGTTTTTACCTGAGACATTTTGAAAGCAAGTGTTCCCCAAACCCACAATTTGCTTTTAAATTGTTGGGAGTTTTTTCACTGTTGGGTCCGTAGCACACAGCATTTTCCTAAAAACTTGTCACTTGAAGTTTGTGAATATCATTTTTATAATCAAATGCATGGTATGTGAACGGACGGATGCGTTGGATACTTTATGTAGCCGAATTTATGAACTCTACTGTTTTATCTGGCGGCCCGGACTGGGCATTACTGACCACAATGCCTACAATTTGCCAATCGACTCAGTGTGAACTTTGTCTAAAAAGTACCCTCTGTGCGCCTAAGAACTGCTATTATTTTTTTTGCCCTCTTACTCACTCATCTTCAACAGTCATGGCCTTCCCACGGCGCAGGTAACGCTGTTAGCCGGTCTAGGCTTTCGTTAGATCTCTATTTTCAATGCTTTATTTTGGTTCAGAGCGCATGTGTATTTTCATTAAGACTGCAAGGAATCCTAGATGGTCGGAATAGATGCGGTCTTGTATTGGAGACCAAACTGATCGTATAACCCCTTCATTGGAGGTTTGGCGTTTGTACCCGAAAGTGTCACGGACGTATGCGTCTTGACTTCTTTTGCTAAAATGCCTATCATACCAGTGACATAAATTAGTTTTAATTTTGCAGCCTCTGTAGAGTTTCTTTTCTGCTTATATCTTAAAAAGTTGGCCTGGATCTGAGGAGTAAGGCTACTCTGTCTTTCTAATGTATGCTTGCGTAATTTATATCACGGGCAAGTATTCGTGTTAAACTGTTGCGACTCCTTTGTTCTTGCATAACTAGATTGTTTTCGAGAGGTACGGCTCAGGAGCATTATAGACACCAGAAATATCCAGAGTTAGGACTGCGTAGAATAGTCTTTCCAGGATTAGTTCAAGTTAGATTGGGCTATTCCACTGGGTTAAGCGAACTCTAAACTTTCGGATTACACCATTACACTACGTCTGCTAAAATTAGAATTGCGTATTAAGTATTCAGTTGCAGGTAGAGTGTCACGAACTTCGATATCCACCCATAAATTTTGTAGCTTACGCGTTTTATCATTGAAGTGCTTACTGTATTTCTGGCCTCGCTTTATACGGACTGCAGTTTTTTCACCACTTCAGAGTTTTGCGACCGGTGATGGCTATTGTTGCTCTTATGTGCTTGAGGCCATGTGCTTCGATTTTCACTAAATTACATTAATGAAGCTTGGTATCCAGATATACTGAAAACTCACCTCTAGTGCGCGGAGTTTTTGACCGTCAGCACGGAGCTTTGAAAGGTTTTAGAAGCTCCGTGCTTTACGTCCTCGTAAGCTAACTTAACTCTTCCTTCAGGCTGTTGATATGTCTGGCTAGCTCACTTTCCTGCGTCCGCGTAGGGCAACTTAAGTTTATGGAGATCCTACGGATAGTCACTTAGTCTCTTAAGAGCTGTGGCGTCTGAACGAATTTTCTGTTTCGTTCGGTTAAGTCTGTTTGCGTTCCGACTATATAAGGGTCATAGGCAAAAGTTAGACGTTTGGTATATAATGAGTAACTAGGCCAATTATCGTAATCCACAGTCAATTATACGGCGCGCCGAGTACCGCATTTTTCACTTGCGTTTCCAACCTCAATTGACCCCAATTTGTTCTTTTTTGAGACTTTGCTGCCCCCTATCGAGCAGTTAGAATACATGCTCATCAATGAGTGAAATCCTTAAAAGATATAACCTGGGACTAGATTTTTAGTAGGCACATGAAACCCTTGCCCGAAAAGCAGATTCTCCTTTTGTAACTTCACTATTTTGCAAATAATATGTTACTACCTCTTAATTTCAGGTCTATTGTTCAAGTCGCGACTGCTCAATCTGACATATTCTCCTGTGATTTCAACTTTCTAGTTGGGAAAACCACTCAGCTCTCCCAGTAAACAGGACACTCTGCTACCCTATTTTCCGTCGTTGCTCTGTAAACTCTCGCATTAGCCCGTTTATATATTCATTTCTGCAGAACTCCTTCTTTCCCAATGGTGGTGAAACTCGGAAGTCGTGCCGTAAAGCCCTTCCGGGGTCTCATATTTCTATCAAGCCTGATCAATGGGGTATTACAACTTATTTCATCCTCATCCATATCTTCAGTTTGTCTCGATTCCAGTCCTCGTGCTTGGATTCTACTTACGTTTTACGCCGGACCCGCAAATGGCTGTGTTTGGAATGTCACGTGTCCATTCAGTTGGCATTACCCTGATTATCATTGGGGTAGCTGTGCTGGGCACCGCCCTAGTTGGAGGCATTTCTGCTGTAAAGGGAGATAAAAGACTAGAATTCGCAGTAATTATATTTGCTTTACATAGAATCCCTTAGTACTTCTTTTTCTTGCTGTTTCTGACTCTGGCCCTTTTTGGAATTGGCGGATACTCCTATTACTATAGATCTGCGGTGAGTCTCATTCCTGTATTAGTTGTGTCAGATAATTTCAAATAATTTTTAAGCATAGTTACCAACCCCTTGTTTCTCCGTGCGCTTCTGCTTCTAGTCCCGTATTCTGTGTCACGAATTTCATTTATCAGTCGTTATTTTTTAATTCATTGAAATTTCAGGTTTTGTCAAGATGGCCCTTTTTCACCATCCATTTAGCTTTAACGGACGACTGTTAAATATTCCACGGACGCAAGCCGGCAGTTTTCTTTACAGTTTCTCGATCGGTTATTAAACTTCAGTTCATTTCGATTGAAATGATTGCTTGTGTTTTCGGCCTGTTTCGCAATGTGTTTGCATTAATTTTTTGCGCTTTTGGCTATTGTAGACGAACTCTGCTACTTAAACTAGAGAGTATTTCGTCCTCGTATTTTCCTTTATGCCGTTAGCTCAGGTCCATGTTATCTGGCTGAAGTTAGAGGGGTTTTGCGCACAAACCCCTTCGATTGCATAAACGGACAAATGCGTTGTTAAGTGTTTGTGACCTCCAGGAGTCAATGAAAACCTTGCGCAGCATGGTAACAATGTCGATAGAAGTTCAACCATATACATGTGAAGTTTTTTTGTTCGACAAACAGTCAAGCTCAAGAACCTTATATCTACAAAGTCTCCGCTAATCCCTAGATGTTAACCAATATATTATTTCTTTTGCACAAACCACCGACAAATATCCGTCGAAACAGTCTGAGCAAGTACTTCCCGCAAGTCCTCTTTCGTTTGGAACGATTGACAGGAATAATTAACATCAGAGGGGATGAATCGCGCGTGAACAATTGCTTTTTATGTCTCATTTGGGACGTATTTCAGTTGGTGCATGAGAGCGCAATGGAAAAAGGGCAAAAATAATTATTTCCGCACGTCGAAGTGTCAAAAGTTGTCGATATTGTAATTTGGTGCGATTCTTGAACTTGTTCGTCAAAGATTTCCGAAATGATCTAATGAGACCGGAGTAGACCGGCAGGAGAATGCCAGTATGGAGTGCCAAATGAAAAATGTCTTTGCAGCCCATTATGTATTGGACTTCGCAGTGTTCGAGTAGTCAGTACCTGTAAATTCCCTGTGCACGAGTTCTCCTAGGGGACTGAGCCAAAGTCATCCAAATTGCTTCATTTAAAGAAAACTACGCGATAGCAGTCTGTTACTTCGAATTCCAAGAAACACGGAGTTCCCAGTACGCAGCACTGCTTAATTTTTCCGCTATCGATACTTATACGTTAAAACCTCCCTTGCAGTAGTAACTTTGACTTAAAGTATTCAGGTGACCTGTGCAAATTGCTGCAATTGCATGACCTACGTGTTTGTTTTTCTAAAACTTGTCATCGACGTTATATCCTTGAAGTTATGAGATGACGTACCGCACAAATCGATGTGTTTTTAAACAGGAAAATTGTTTCGTTTTCGGTCTGTGATATCCGACTACATGAGACTTCAATCTGAAACTACAGAGGACAGCCTTATAAGGAAAAATAGTTGATAAATCACGAAATGGTTGATGCCTACGATGTCTTCTCTGTACACCAGAGAGATCTGAATGGTCACCTCGGGCTTGATGCTATGATTAGACAACTGTTTGCTCAAGCATTGTGGCCCACCACTTGACTTACAGCTCCTTCATATCGACGACCAGCTTAATCTGCCTGTGATTCTCAGGTTCCCCCACCGGGGTCGGAACAAAGGTCACAAATAAGCCATCCAGCCTTCCGCCACCCTATCAGTAACGCGCGCCATATTCTGCTACTACCTGCCTTGATGCATTCGCTGTGCCTTCCAACCTACCGCAATGCATGCTGGCATTGGTTATGCAGGAGTAAAAAAAATTAGTAAAATTGTTGCTAAACCACGCGAATTGCGCCGACGTTTACTCCGACTGCCATTTGCTACGACCTGTGCCCTTTTCAGAGGCTGCCGACTTGCCATCTTGGAGCTGGACAAGACCTAAAGGTGTTACTACCGCATGACACCTGACGGCCTATTCTTCAGGCTCGGGAGCTTCGAGTCTTTACTGAAGGGTATTCCACTATCCGTCAGATGTCAGGTGGCTTGCAGCTAAGTTAAAAGTGGTTGTACACCTCTTGTAGGTTGTGCTGGCCCATCTAACTTGTACGAGCAACTGTATCCGAGCTCTTTCCGACTGCCTCCCGCCTGCCCAATCACTGCATGCATTGAAATCGTCAGCATGCACACATCGAATACGTTTATCGGTCGCGCAAACCTCTCTCCCCAACTTTTCATTCTTGGCTGGATAGCTGTAGCCAGCCTAGACCCCAGTAGTCAACTTGTTCCAGTCTCCATCAGGATGGCGCAGATGATCACAGAATCGCTGACCTTCCAATGTCCTTTGCATCTGCCCCATCTTAATATTCAGAAAAGCGCCATTAGCTTTCCGTATCTAACGTATTTCTCAAAATGGGTCTGCAAATTCTTCGAAACAGCTTCGAAGAGACGTAATTACAACTTTAAGAGAAATATTACACACTGCCGAAGGCTGTTTCACGTCGTCTTCTCAAACCCCAATTATTAGTTTCACATTTTTATTGGTCTTCATTTTCAGCTGACCCAGTCAACTGCTGACGTGATGGACAGCAAAATTATCGCCGACTACGGCTTTGATCATGAACTCACCAATATCATTGACCAACTGCAGGTTGACGTAAGTAAAACCGTCGTTCTTTTTTCTTTGCGGCTGTTCGACGTGCTCGTGTATGCCTCTAGAGTCACGAACTGCTACTGCTACTACTACTGCTGCGGCTCCTACTACTACGACGACTACTACTACCACTTTTACTACTACTACGACGACTATTACTGCCACCATCACCACCACCACCACCACCACCACCACCACCACCACCACCACCACCACCACCACCATCACCACCACCAACACCACCACCATCGTCGTTATCGTCATTATCCCAAGTCTCAAACTGATCTCGCGCATCGGACTGCTGACGGTTACATACCTGGTTGAGTTACCGCAGACACGCTTGTTTATGCGTGGTCCTGAGTTGACGGTGCTCTGTGTAAATGGAACGAATCCATATCTTCACAGCTGGGTTGTGTGAAATCGTTTTGATCTAAGACAAGGAGTCGCAGAGCACGCAGGACGTGTCCGCTGCATCTTCGTTTAGTTGGAGTCCGTTCTACACTAAAAGCCGTTCGTTGAAATCCATCGATTTCTTACAACCTAGCAAGACCGTCGAACGAGTAAATGCCCCACGCGGTCAGGTTTACGCCTCTGCATACCAAAATAAGTATCCAGTTCTACCTAGTCGCAGGCGTCGCGTGGGCGCAGGGGGGTAAAAGTGCTGAGTAACTATCGCCCCTCCGCCTAAGTCGCCATTATTTGCATTTTTGTTGTTCCGTAATGTAAGCCCATCACACATCTCCGCCTTGTCAATACAAGATTTCTGCTTTTCAAGCAGGCTAACGTCTCGGTCTTGTTCACTCTTCTGACCTAGCGGTGCGTTGTTTGCCGTGCCACAGAAACCAGTTGCAATCAAGCCTGGTTCTGGAGCTCCGCAGATTAGCTAACTGACTCATGGACTGCAGTATGACCAGGGTTGAATTCAGCTGCAAGATCTTTGTCATTATATCGTTGTCCAACTATGTTGCTTTTAGAGGGGAAATTTTATAAGCGGCGGAAGTTGTCAAGGGTCTCTCCTGAAACTCCAGAGTCGGACAGTTTGGGTCACAGTTAGTAGAGGAGGGAGGTGAAGCTACATATAGTCCGTGACCTATCTCATGAAAGGTCACGAACTGCGAACTAAAATCGCTGTAGTGCACGAAACGCCCACCCTGCATCCACGAAAGTTACACTGCGTTAAATATACGACCGAGCTTCCAGACAAGACACAGCTTAGTTTGCACACTATTATTTACGGACTAAGAAATGATTTATTTTACACAAAGCCACCAGATCAAAAGAACGACTTTACGACAAGTCAATTATTTAAGGCCTAATATAACTGTCATCAGAGAAAAAAGCGTTATACAACGACAAAATGATGACTGACAGACAGTAACAACTACAACGTATTAATGCTTTGTCGATTGTCCTTTGGCTTTCAAAGTTGCTGTAAGCCGGGGGGGGGGGTGGCATGGAGGCTGCTAAGTTGTACATGGTGGTTTGGCCTGTATAATTATTAAGCACAAAATCCAACTTTTGGTGCGTTGGGAGATGTTTTCATGCCTTGTCCTAATTCCTATTGGTTAACGCAAAAATATTTTCGATAGAATTCAGGTGCGAGCTGTTAGCGAGAATAAAAATGCTTCGAAGACCGCAGGCATGGATATCCGGAAACGCCAAATTTTGCCTAATTTTGGCCTGTTACCCCTCAGTAAAACAGATCTAACGTGAAGTCTTATTTAGAAAATGGCTTTCTGCGACTCCACTTAACTCTAAAAATAAAACTAACCACACCAAATATATGCCGTACCACCAACCCCAATGCCGATCTGGACATTTCATGAGTTAGGTCATCTGCTGTAAGTTACCTTATTACTAAACGGGACTTTCACAAAAACGAGTACGCATGAAAACATTCTAAATGACTGGGATTAGGGAAATTCGATCAAATGAAGGCCGCACCTAACATTTATTGCTAAGAGCTGACAAAATCAAGTAACTGCGGCCCATCAGCTTCATTGGAGTTGATCCGAGTAGTTATTACATTTGTTGCTTCAGCAACCACCCACCGTTTCGCCAGACTTGCGTTCACCGGTGGCCTTTACGATAGGCCCTTCGGAAGCATATGCTTGTCAAGGCATCTGTGGAGAAATTGTCTTCGCGCGTGCACAGAAGACACGAAAGGTGAATATTTCCCAACGTGCTGACTCAAGCGTTTCGCGTACGAAAGTATTGCTACTAGAAGCACAGATGTGCGCTTCGGACATAAATGAGAAGAAAAGGCGATCTCGGGAATCATAGCTTTACTGTCCTGACGTTTCAAAAGCCAAGAAGCTGCCATCGTCCAGGAGACCGGCAAAGGACTACAGACCCGTGTTGGAGAACACTTGAGGATAGTAAGGCGAATGGACCCTTTGTCTCTGGTGGCAGAACACTGCGCCGATTCTGAACACACGCTCGCCTTCCAGCATGCCGAAATTCTGGGCCGAGTAAACGACCGCATAGCCAGGAGAACAATCGAGGCTTGGCACACGGGACAACCCCCATCAACCGTTGTGTGGCTGTTCCCGCTGCCTACAAAGCCCTTCAAGCGCAACTCAGTGAACAAATGAGCAAACGTGAACGCAGGCTAGACATGAACCCAAACATGGGCGAGTCCATGGCTGATACACACTCAGTCGCCCCTCAACCTGGGTCCGACGAGGGCGCAGTCGTCACCACACTATCCATCCACTAGTACGGCAGACGAGAAAACGGACAGTCGGCGCGTCGTTAACAAGGCTGCCAGCATTGAACGGCAGCTAAGTTCAATGAGGGTACGAACGACGGCCGCCAACGTCTCAACGCCGTCCCCCGATGTAGATTGAGTACGTTGCGTCACCCTCCCCCCCCCCGTCCGCCACAGTCCTTCCGTGCTTGCGGCTGGTGATCATTAATCTGATACACCACCCCCTCATCCGGCGAAAGGACGCTCTGGGACTCCATCCCCCGCCCCTTTCTCCCTACCGCCCTGACTTCATATGTAAAAACCCGTCTTGACATGACTGTCACCCACCTATAAATACTGTGAGGCGCGATACCACACTCACCTCCGACGATGGAAGCTTGTTTGCTTTTGAAACGTCAGGACGGTAAAACTATGATTCCTGAGATCGCCTTTTCTTCTCATTTGTGTCCGGGGACGCGCATCTTCGCTTCTATTAGCAATATATATATATATATATATATATATATATAATGTTAGGGGGCGCTCACCGATCGTTCATACGGAACTCACTCGTTCCGTTGTGCCTTATGGACTCTCTCTCGAGCCCAACCAGCAGCCGCACAGCGGCGCATGATATATAGGCAGAATGGTATTACCTTGTCTTTGTCGGTAATACCATTCTGCCTATATATATATATATAGGGACCTATTTAAACCGTGTAATTTTCTAATATTTCCTATCTCCGATGATGCGCTCGAGTATGAGTGTGAAACGTCAGATGAATAAATCATCATCCCCAGAGCTCGCCTTACCATCTTCTTCAATTTCAACACCTGGGGTCAGCATTTTCGCCTACATCCATATATATATATATATATTTATATAAAGAAGGATCGTCGGAAAAAATCGAGTTGTACTCGTTATACACAGACTCAAGTGCGTCTGATGACGACCTGGGGAACCGGCGTCCAAAATTTACGCAATAAATTCCTTTTCCCAAAGAACACCTTTGACTTCAACGTATATATGTATGTATACATGCATATCCCAAAGACTTTTAGTGGCAATGCATGAGACAGAAAGAGTCAAAAGAAGCAGAACCGGGTACTTCCAATTAGGCACCCTAGCCATATACTTGTCGAGCCCTCTCTTTCATCAAGAGGGTGTCTGAACTCACTTAAAGACATTCAAAGAAACCAAATTCTAATGGCACACAGACTGAAGACTACATTACGCACCAAATTTTACAACCTAGGGGCGGGGTTGACTACTTGAATAAAAAAAAGTCATTTTCAGGACCCTGTGTGAAACCTGTAGTGCAGTTTACTGTGGTCAAACGGGAAAGTCGGCTTCTACACGCATTCACAAAAACCAATTGACCGCAAAGAGGCTCAAACGGCCATGTATACCGGGCACACCTTCTTTTGAGACAGAACTCGCATTGTCGGCGTCTTCCCCCTCAAAAAGACTGAGTCTCTCAATGCCATGCACTCGGGTGAATCATGCATCAACGCCGAGCGATTATCGATTTTTAGGTGCACTTAGGATGTTAACTGTTGTTGATACATTTGCTCTGCGTCTGACGACGGCCTGAGGAATCGGCGTCGAAAATTTACGCAATAAAGTTCCTTTTCCGAGCGAACTTATTTGACTTTAGCATGTATAGATCAGGTACATTCTAGCCCCGATTCTAGCGACCCCTGTCCTGATTGGTGTTTACGCGCTCTTCTTGGTAGCGTTGCTTAGGCATACTTACGATGAAGGTTGACACACTCTTGAAAGTGCCCTTTCGATAGTATTTCAGTGTGCTTTATCTGAAGCTAGGTTTTGGGGGTATTTTCTCGGCAAAATTAGAGGCTTGTGCTCCATGCGCACGTAAAGTTTACTATGTTGACCATAGTGAATTCACACGGACTCGCATTGCATCCTAGTAGAATATACTAACCGTATTTACGCAGCTGTAAATTCGCCTCCTCTTTGTCTGAAAGTAGCACGTGACAGTTGCTGCTATGGCGGCCGATTGGGCGTGTGGCCAGGTGCGGCTGATTGCTGTTCGCCATTTTCTCAGGCAAGTATCCGTCGACGGCCTAATCGCTGTCGTACAAACAGATTATTCGAATGAGCCTTATTGCCCGGGAGCTTGCCGGACATTGTCGCACACCAAAACCTACCCAAACACACTTTTTGGTGGTTTGCTGGAGTCAAATTTATTCCAGTTAACACTGGAGAGAGGTGATTTATGCGAACAGATATAATCAGAGAACCATTGCTTGCTTACCTGCCGTCGGCTGTCAGCTACACATGGTTTTTGATTGTTGGCAAACAGGGGAAGTTGTACAAGTTTTGATGACTGGAAGATTCCGATCACAGTGACAAGTGGCCCATTTTACTTGTTGGAAAACTTCTCTCCTTGTCACTTTTGGGATTCTCCATAGTCCTTCGTCCGGAACGGGCCGGACAGAAACTCTTGAATAGCCAGACACGAATTTTGCCGGTCAAGTGATTTTAAGTGAATTGAGGTGATATCCGGAGACAACTTATATCTTATCAGACATCTCTAAGAACATGCCCTACCCTTAATTGTCAAATGCAGAGTTGTGTGATTATTTACCGTACTACCAACACAGGTATTAGTTAAAAGCCCAGACACGCGCTTTTCGCCGATCTTATGTCTCTGTCCGACTCAGCTGCGAGGGGTTCGGCTCATCAGTAGATCCCCCGCTTTCCTAGTACGTTTTCTGGCATATGATTTACTCTAAGTTCGCGCATTAATTTCCTCGGAAATTAAACAAGACATGTCCAATGTAAGCCTCAAAATGCACCACCACCACCACCACCACCACCACCACCACCACCACCACCACCACCACCACCACCACCACTACCGCCACCACCGATCGCACTTGCTTTTTCCAGATTGTCTTGCTGAACTACCAGTTTTTTAAAGCGTTCGATGATCGTTCGCAGTGGAACAGGTCACGAAATTTATTACGTCGCTGAATTCTGAGTTTTCCACCAACTTCGCCTTTTCAAAGTTTTGGCAAAGATCGGGTGAAGGATTCAAACACACACGACCAGCCAAAGGCGCCTGTGTTACTGGAAATGTGGCAATAAAGGTTTTACGGGCGGTGGTCTATGTATGCATAGAGGAATGGCAAAATAAGTATATATAATTGGCGAATTTGTTTTTCGGGAGGAAAATTTCTAATGCATTGACATATAGCGACCGAAATTAAACAGGAAAATTTAAAGAAGCAAACATTAAGTGTCTGCAATGATCGCTTCTCAACTCTCTGAACTGAGTTCATTGTAGACAATGCCTCAGAACGTCTACAACAGACAACTCAACCTTGTCCGATAAAATACCAAATCGAAATAATCGTGTCGGACCTAAATCCACTTTACTAAGTATACTAGGTATTCTTTGTATGCCACAAATTCTTGCGGGCCTTTACCCGATCCTTTTCCAAATGTTTACCAACAAAGAAGTTTTCGAAATTGTTTACTTTTCATTAGTTTATGTAAAACAGGAATCGCCTACGGCAACACATTCACTTTCGAAACTCTGAGCACGTATGGCAGTTTTACGGGCGCCTTCTCCACCCGGGAGACCTGACTGGCAGTAGTCTCACAAGAAAATGATACCGCCTGCCCTTTGGAGGCAAGGCGACTTAGACGAACGCTCTCGTAACTTGGCATCATGGTCAACAGAGAAAATCGTCCATGCTTTTGGGCATTTGCCTCTAGGCAGCTGGCTTGTCAGTACCCCTGACGTTTAACATCCACAGTTATTCCACGCTAAATGCACGCGAAACCTTTTATCTGATTTGATTTTTTTTTCAGCGACACTGCTGTGGCGGTTCGAGCTACCGAGTCTATGAACTATCCCAGTGGGCCAGTGGAAAGAGTGAAATCACCGCCAAGAACGGTCAAGTGCCGGACTCCTGCTGTGCTCGTGGTAACTCCGGCGAGCTCGTTAATGCGACGGCCTGTTATACTACCACTGAATTGACAGAGGTCCCAGACCTTGTCTACACTCGAGTAAGTCTCCGACGAGCTTCCTCTTTTATGTTTATCCCATTTTACACGTAGGCTGGGTTTGTTAGGCGTCGACTGAAGGCTGGTCACTTTGACGGATTGGCAGTCGCAGCAGATGCTTGACTGTACGATTTTGTCATCCCACACTGGTCCCATCCGCGTCCTGCTCCAGTCTGTTGGTCTGTGAAGCTGTGCTGTGCCCAGCCACCACACCTCATATGGTCTTTAGAGGCCGACCCTCACAGAGGGCTGCGCTGTAGACACGCTGGGTCAAAACGGGGGTCAGGCTGGCTCACGGTGCGGGTTTGTCAGGCTGTGCTGTGTCTGCGCGACGTACGTGCGGGTGTGTGGCCCGCCTCGGACGTAGACTTTCACGTCGCGTCGCGCTCAAGTCCATTACCTGCTGTTGATTGTCAGATATGGACGGTCGACCGGTGCCCCAGAGTGAGACAGGCTGGGAGAGCTCCACTCCACAGCACACCAGCACATTTTTACTTTAACAGGTCTGACGCGTATGAATGAATCACGTCGTGGCCGGAGGAGCAAAAAGTCCAACACGTGACATAGTGTCAAGTTGCTTCGTTCACGCCGACACCCTGGCCTTTATTTGCGTTTTATCCATCCGCTTTGTATCTGTTATTGCTTTTTGACGTTCCTCTCTTCTACTCCGTACGTGGGAGATCATATCATAAAATATCTTGCTGGGAGGGTTTTTTGACATTATACCAGCTAACTAGTTCGCAGGTATTTGAAAACACTCCCATAATCTTCCCGTGTTTCTAATCTCTCCAGACTACTTACCATGTTCCTGAAAAGCAGCTTTATATAGCTCGTTTTGTCTGAGTAAGGAAGGAGAGGTCTGGTGGACCACCGGGACATATGTTTATTTGTCTGAGCTATCGAAACCATACAGGAGTCTATCGTCATATAGCAAAGCAACGACAGGACAAGCGATAGCCTTAGGGGGCATAAATCAATAAACATAAGTGACACCGGCCTGGAGTTGGCTGCGCAGAACTTTGTACGCCGGCACCTGATCAGTACGTCGGCTGAGTGAGTTGTCATCCGAGGCTCAGGCCCGACCAGTCTTCTTCCTTAATCGTACGTACACTTGGAACCTGAACATTTGCCTCCACTCGTTTTGTTTGTTTGGAAGGGGTTCCTCCTGATGCTCACAAAAGGTTGTTACAGTTATATATTGATCATATTGCACAGCTTTAAGAGACGTGCGAACAGTAGACTACACTGATAATCGTCTGGTTGTCACCAGCTTTGCTGCAATCGTAATTATTCAAAGTTTGTGTGCGTGCATCCGTGTAAAATGTGCACAGCGAACGATTTTTATGCCTCTCTTCCCAGCCATCTAATGGATTTATGTAAGAACCAAAAATAGTGAAATTTATCCCTCCTCGGATGTGTTTTTATGTCCTGAAAGGTTTTTACTGATTTACGGGCACCGTCCCAGGACTTTTACATATTTAGCAAAGTTCGTTTTGTAGACACGGAATGCTTAACTTCTCGCTGTGTTGCGTGACACCGATAAACGAAAAGTGTTAAGTTTCGCTAATAACTCGGGGGATGATTTTCAGCAAACTAAGAATTGGTAAATAGTTATCAAATTCTCCCTGATTACTCCCCATATTCAGCATTAAGTAAGCAGGCTCTGTTTTAGCAAAGCTGTATTAGCTTTCAGGACATATCATATTTTTTGTGCCACTTCCTGCGAATCTCGATTCACACTCTATCAGGGGTTGGCTGTCGACTTCAGACTTTGGATTTCCGAAATTCAAGTACCGGGTCTAATTCCCTCCAACTTTACTAGACGTGCACGTTCTTTCAATGCCTTCATTCGTTTTATGGGTGATCGCGGGAATAAGGACCCCGCGTATTACAGGTGACCTTTTCCTAAATTCCAGGGGGTCAGGGTTGGAAGGAGGGAGAGAGAGAAGTCTGTTTTATTGCAGAATCCATGTTTCATTCCCACTTCTTTATCGCACCGAAGAGAAGCAACGTTGTTTTTCCACTGTGTTGGATTTTGATCTTACGCACAACGCGACTGGTCTGGTAGTTGGGCAGTTTGAATTTCCTCATGGCCTAGGAGGAGGGGGAACGAGGCAGCATATGGCGCTGGCAATAACTGGGAAATAAACGGGACTATAAGAGACGCTTTGCTTTTTGGCCGTGATTCATCTACATCGCTGAAGAATACGCGCAGTCCAAATGTTCTGGCGTCATCTGTCACCGACATCAGCTTATCCGAAAATTCTGAATTAACTTCCTGATTGGTTTGTGAAACAAAAATTTCAGACTCCGGAGTCAGTAGTGGATGTTAACCAACCTAACTAACTGCAAAATTTGAGTGTCCTCACAAGGACGCGAGCCAGTAGATGCCCACTAAGTTCACTGACCGCCGATAGTAACAGTTGACATCATTGGAGAGCAAAAACATGCCGCGAACAGCTAAGTATTCGAGCATGTCATCTGTTTGACTTTTTTTCTAGAGCCCATTTAATTTTTGGCCTCTACACCCGAAGGATAGGATTGGCTGTTTAGATAAGAAAGAAACCGTCTACAGGATTCCATACGACGGCTGCAATGTCGTGTTTTGTGTTGAAACGGGAGACTCGACCTCTACACGCAAACATTCGTTAGCAATCTGCGTGCATACGCTGCAAAATGGTCGTAAATTTGCCTGGGGCAAAAGTCTCATTGTTGGTGTCTGTCCATCTCATAGAGCGTGAGAATTTCTGGAGACCATACACCCCTGCACTACCCGGCACATCGAACTAAACGCCGTGTACGATAGGCTCATAGGAAAATGGAAAAGGGTACAACGAATCCAAACGAGATGTCCGCATACAGCAATGGCTTATTCGCGGAATTTTTATTTTTCAGGCATATTTGAATTTCTAAGGTCTATGCGCATTTGCCACAAGTCTAGCGACAGCCAGGGAACCATTGTCGAAAATTTGCGAAGTAGAGTTTTGTTGACTTTCCCAAAGGAATCTTTCCCTGGAATAAGAAGTCCTATCGTATAGACAGGCCGGTAGAGGTGTGTGAAGGCGGGACAGCGTCTGTTTCCGGCCTATCAGCGTCCCCTTCATGCAACCGAGGTTGACCGGTCTGTGGCTGGTCGAAGAGGACGCTGATAAATCGAAAACGTCCCCCACCTCTTTGTGGATCTGCCACTACCGCTGAATTGCTTATCCTCGGTTCAGGATCTCCAGCATCTGCCTGGAAAGCCTTGGAAGCCATGGAAACCGGTACGGGCCAATTACAGGAAGCACTGACGCCGTTGGTCTTGGTAAAGGAACGCTCATCTATCGCGTTACGGTACACACACACACACACGCGTCCCGTTGGGCCCTGGGGTTCAATCTCGAGCCCCGCCAGCAGCGGCTCGGCGGCTAGTATTATGGGCAGAATAACATCACCGACAAAGACATGGGAGCAGTGAGCGTCCGTGCCCCCAAATGGGGCCACGTGGTAGATGCACTGGACCAACATAGGGAGCACATCGGATTCTAGCAGGCGTTATCGGAATTGCACACCATAAAAATGCCAACATTTCGGGGTGCTGTGGCAGACCCGGTTGCCGACAGACGTCTCGCAGACTGGGACTGCGGCCGTCTCTCATTGTTATTGTTGTTGGTCAAAAACGTGGTTATTTGCTGTGTGGGCCAGGGGGTGTGGAGTAGAGCGCCAACATGCGGCCCGACCGTGCTATCAACCTGCACCCTCTCCCGCCTCCGGTCCTGTCTACACCGGGTCCAGGTGGGGAGGGGGGAGGAGAGAGTGCGATAGATGCTGTGCAAGTCCACCATCACTATAAGCTAAATCACACTCAAGTCACCGTCCCGACTCTCACTTCGTCGGCAACGATGGTCGAACTATTGTTTATATGCCCGATCGCAACCGACAGGACAGCCAGCCCCTGGCTGAATTGTTAGGACGTTGAACTTCTGACCAACAGGTCTTGAGTTTGGGGCCTCGGGAAGTTGCACACATCGCGATTGAGCATGGCTGGCTGATGGGTGCTATTGGGCGAGAAATGGCTTTGTCGACAATGTTATTCTTTGTCTTTGCGTAAGGGTATGTCGGCTGTTTCTCAACGTATCACCTTTCTACTTCAAAACATATTACGCGCGAGAAAAACAGCCATTTATGCGATTTTTGAGCTATTACATAGAATATGGAACGTCTGAAGACGACCTGTATTTCAGGCATCGTGTTTCATCAGTTGTCCTACCTACTGTGCGTTTTGTTATCGTCCTTGTCATTTCACGTTGGACGAATTCGTAACAAGGGTCGTCGTCTGAAATTTTTCTGGTTCTTGCAAAGTTTGCCTACATCGTCCAAAGCAATTGAAAACTCGTTGTGTGATCCTTGTATTGGCCTTACTGATGTCACTAGCACTTAATATTTTTTTTACCACCCCACTTTGCACTGCGTTCTTAAGAAGCAACATGGTATCTTCTGACATGTGGCGGTCAAGGATGTGAGATCAACTTAAACCACGCACAATAAGTTCGTTTCGTCTAATGCCAGAAGTCAGGGAGCTGTGAGGACGCATTTATTCTGTACACAGGGCAGGTTGCCGTAAGTTGGCTGTTTGCTTACAACAGAGATAAGCGTCCGCTCACGGAGACTGTCGGTCGCGGTGTGTAGTTTATGCGGGAGCGAATGTGCGTCGGTAGGTGGGGGTGACTGGCTGAGTGCTGGTCATGAGATTGGATGGATTGGGAGAGGATTAGGGGGAAGCATAATCACAGGGGCTCACGGGTGTCAAGCCAGGCCGTCCGACACGCGTGAGATGATAATAGTTTGTGGGGGCAGCCGGGAGTCACTGCAGCTGCACAGGAGGGCTCTAGCTCTAACCGACGGGGTGGTCTTGTGTCAACGGCCTGTCAACGATTGTCGCGGCCATCGACCGACAAAACGGAGCCGGAGAAAGGGGGACTGCAGCGGCTGCTACAAATTCCCCTTACTTTTTTTATCTATTTTTCTGCCAACCCTGGGGGAATCATTACACTGTGCTCATCCTCCTCCCTTTCCTCCCTCTTCTCCGCTTCCGCTTCCTTCTCCCCTCCTCTCCCCCCATACCCACGCCCCTCGCCATACCACTAATCCTGGTTCTGACTGACTTGGAATCTCTCCACCCCAGCACGCCTTAGGTTTAGACTTCAGGCCACTTCAGTCGCTGCGCCCCACCACATCTCCGGTTGTCTGTACTGGGACTTGCCACTGATACCTGGGAGAAGGAGAGATAGACAGAGATTGACGGCATTGCGTCTTGTATACAGAGCCCAGTTTCCTCTTTGTAAACACCAAACGCCTTAGGGATCCTGATTTGGGACGTTATCAACTTGCAGAATAACACGGATATACTCCGCGCCGATTATCGGGCCTTAATGACTCCTTCCCAAAGTGGTCATTATTGCGTCTCTCGTATGTTAGCTCGGAGACTATTTTACGAAGATTGGTTTGTTTAGGATCAGGGACTAGCACCTTTGGGTTACAGGTAGACGTGGCTGTAGCCACTGTGTCAACGTCCATTTTCGGCAGTTTTAATCCTGTCTAGCCATTGAAACGCAACGGTGTGGGAGAGCGCTGCGCAAGTCTACTTTGCTAGAAACAAATTAACAAGTAAGCCACCACTGCGCCCTCAGCGCCAGTGATGGTAGTTGTTAACTAGGATGAAAACATTTCTCTTCCGTCTAATTATTTTTTTGAGAATCCTACCTTTTAATAACACGTTCACCATCCCACGAAGACGTCGGAGAAGGAGAGGCGAATTCATGGACCGAGCTGTTTTTTTTCTTACTGACCTTTCAGAACCTTCCTTTTTTTCATCATCGGAGAGTTGCTATGGCTGTTCCTTCTGGTCTTGAGTGTTTTGTATATGCATATAGGAATGGTCTTCCTGCGACCGTTCCCGGGACCTCTAGATTGAACCCCAAAGTGGAAGGGAAAGAGCGCATCCCCTAACACGATCGGTGAACGCAATTCTGACATGGCTTATACTCCCGATCGCAACGGACAGAATAGCGGGCCCGTGCATCAACGGTCGAGCGTTCGATCCGATAGCCACTGATCCGGAGTTCGAATCCCAGGGACTGAGGATCCGGGGCTGCTTATGACTGGCTAATGATGACTAATAAGCCAGAAACAATCATTCCAGTCTCCCTTGTCTTTTTCGGCAACTTATTCGCTAGTGACTATTTCTGACGTCTGAGACAGTTTTTAACAAGTCTACTCTGACGGCCGTTAATATAGAGCCTGCTCAGACTACTTAACGGAGATTTTGGAGAAAGCAATTCCACCACTGTCTCACTCTGTCCTGAGGTGTGTGGTTTTTAGGGGTCAGAATGTAGCAGCAAGTGTGAGGTGAGATTCATCGGACCTCAACATGACCATCTGTTTTTTTCCAGGTCCGTTTTAGGTAGATTTTGTACGTACTATTATTAGCGCCTGCTAGTCAGCCTAGAAGCCCTTAAGTTTTTCCTACCCACTACTCGCGCGGTACGCCTGACAATGTGTTGCGAGGAGATTCCATGCTCTCCACTCCCCTTATGGACGCGTGGCTTTCCTGTCTGCATTTGCGACTTTAGTCTGCCGAAAACGGACAGAATCTAGACGGATTTTTTCGGCATGCCGATGTTTTTTCTGCACGTCCAACAGCATTTCACACCATATAATCACCAACAGATCTTCTTCTTATTGTATCTTTTCTGCCCGGTGGTATGGCTCATGAATTTCAGCCGACATCCCGAGCGGGTTTGGCATTTTTTTCCGATGACGAACCTGGCCGCAGGTTTGGGATAGCTGACTGAATCGTGAATATTATAGCAAGAATGGAAAACCAATCTCCGTAATTAACGCTGCCGGCTTGGTCGAGAAGTCAACGGCATGCCGTCGAAAATCCAGTATTGATTAATTCCATTAACCTTTGGCACATCTGTTCGGCATATTTCTCCCCCTTTCTACCTCACCATGGCTCTTTGTTTCTGATCTGTTCTGTGCTAATGAACGAGGGGGGAGTGAGTAGGGACAACGTCCACTACGGCTATTCACACCTGATCTCCCATTTGCCTTACTCGACGGGGCTCTCGCTAAACACCCCTTTGTTTTCATTTTCAACATTTTAGGGCTGTTTCACCCTGATGGAGGAGACCGTGGAGGGCATTGTCTTCGTCTTCTCTGTCTGCATGCTCTCGTTCGCTGTCTGGCTGGTAAGTCTACCGGTAGGACCGCACACCCCCACTGTCTGATTTTGTGCGGGAAATTGTTGCCACAGTTGCCTCCAGTTGGTCCTACCGTCACGTCGCACATTTTCGCACCTCATTAGCACTTTGTACTACCAGATTATCCCAAGGCTAGAGCTGGGCTAACTGAGCGTGAAGCTGGGTTGGGTGTTTTCCGCCACTTGGTCTCGCCTTTTTTGATTTCACACTAACATCATTGACACTCGGTGCAGGGTGGAATTGTGCACAAACTGAGCGACGGCCAATCGGAGTCGCGTTGCGGGCTTCTGGAGACAATGCAGCCTGCTCGTACACTTTGTCAGTTAAGGGGAATTTCGCATGATTCCGTGATCGCTTAACTGTAGTTCTCATCGCGTCTCTGTCGCCTTTCTGCCACCCATCTGCCGTTGTTGGCGATCATCAAGCGCATATCCCGGCTTCGTTCCTAGATCCCTACGGACAGCAACTCTCCAGCCAACACTTGAGAACCGTGAAAATTCGCTGCAAGTGACGTTCTCTGCATTCTCCTCTCGTGTCTGATTGCAGGACTTCTGAGGATTCTGGCTGAACCACGCATTTGCTTATCCTGGTAGAAGTTGGAACGTTGCAGTAGCCTGCTTGCGTTGTTTGGAAACCTCCGGAAAGGTTTGTCTAAAGGCATCTTAAGGTCATATTCGTCTGATAGGGTTAGCAGGCAGTAGTTAAGCGTGTATTCTGTCTGCATTCACCACCCATGGCACATCCATAGCTGGAACTTTTCATTTGATCTCCCGGTCTACGAGGATCAGCTGACATGCATGGACAGCTGGACTTTTAGAGGCTCCGGCAATTCCTGGTGCTGACTAAGACTCACTCGATGCCGACGGCTTGCTGACTTTTTATATGTGACTGTGCTAGAGTGCCAAACTCGCCTGTGCAAGTTTGAGCTGGTTCACACTAGTTTAAATGTTTTCCTCCACTGTAGGGGGTTTTCGCAGTCGCGCTAGAAGGAATGTTTAAAGTTCTTGGGGCTTAACAGCCCACACCGTGGCTCGCAAATCATTGTAACTGTAAATTAATGCGTTACCTATCCGTCCCCGAGTTGTTTAGTTCCATTATGCCGTACCGCCTCGAGTCCACGTGTCACCGGCAGCTTAATGTATTCGTTTGACGCCACCTTGAAAAAACTAGACATGCTCCGTCCTTTTACAAGCCCTTTCTATTCAAATCGAATGAAGTGTTAAGTGCATGCGAAGTGGCTCATTAATCTTGCCTGTACTGTGATAGCTCCTGGTATCATCCGCACCTACTTAGATCCCCCATTTTTGCTCGTTAGCGCCATTGCCAGTTCCACTGCAGGTAGACTGCAAATCAGCAGTAAAGTCACAAAAAAAAATTATTGTTCAGCGCCCCACTCAACTCCATCCCGGTGAGTAGTAGTCTTTGAAAGGTTTCGATTACTTGGTTTCTCTATTCCTTCGAAATGACTAAGCAACTTGCTGCTTCAGCAAGGTGTCCCATTCAATCGTCTGTGAACTCTGCACTTCATTACTAACCATTCGCTCGATGCTTCCGTAGCCCGCAGCAAATATGCAAATTGGAAGATTCCACTTCTTGCGGAGTTCTGAAATCCCATTTTCCGGCATCTTCTACAGCATTTCGAGTTCCTGCTCGAGTGAGAGGGAAACCATCATTGTCAGTTCTGTAGTTCGTCACAGGAGCGCAGATAGGGTTGCTCTGTGCAGGAAGCTGGAGGTCTGCGCACTTGGCAACCGCTGGGCAACTTTTCGAAGGCGCCTAATGCAGTACTGCCTGACCCTGTTTGCGAAGTGGACTTGGAACCTTGAGCTGGTTCGACATCGTGTGAAAATTGACCAACTCTCAGTAAGGCCTAAAGCCAATGCGAAAGCAAGTGCTTAAGCCAACACCTAGCCTGAATTCCTGCAGTCTGTTCATCGCGTATGAGAGTGCCCCCTGTTTTGTGCGAATTGCACGTAATTCACTAACACGTCGTCTGCTTAATGTTACCTCATTTTTGGCCCATAGTGAACAGACGCTCACAGTAGTCGACATTTTCGTCTGTCTCGGGGCTCATTTTTTGTTCAGAGAACAAATATGGGAAGACTTCAACTCCGTATCCACCCTGCCGTGTGCACTGCAGGCTGTTGTAGTGCACTTGTCGTGCCGGGAAATGCAAATAGTGTTTTGGCTAGCTTTGGTAGGAACCTAATAGGTAGGACCACTTGACAAACCAACACGCAAGATCCCCTTTAATACGGAAGTGGCGACAATGAAGGGTTTTATTGGTGGGTAAAAATGGCAGCAAAAAGGGAAATGTAGAGAAAAGATAGGGAGAGGCAATAAATAAGCAGCAGTTAGATTGAAGCAGTGTTTTCCCGGGATAAATTTGAACAAGGCGAAGGCGACAAAGCATGCAGAATTTGATGACGTCATAAATTTCGAGACCTCTCATTCAGCTGCACACGGTCATTGCATAGTTATATTACGAGGCACTTTCTCCTCACTATAAACAATCTGACGCGCTTGAAGCTATCACGGTGCGCTAAAAGCCGTGGCTTGGAAGGTTGCCAACTGACGGGGTACCTTGGACCTCCTCCTTCACTGGAGGCGGTCTGAGAGTCAGGCTGCAATGGCTCCTTTTTAATGTGGCCTTTATGGCATTCGCACCACAGTGTGGGATCCGAGCCAGGCGTTGGCGGCAGGCCCAGGTGCGGCTTCGGCCGTGCCAGCCTCCAAATCTCTGTTGTGTTGGTTGAACTCCTGGTTATTGCTGTGTGGACCAGGGGGTGTGGTGGAACGCCAAGGTGAGGATCCGTCCGAGCCATCCACCTGCGGCCTCCCTCGTCTCCGGTCTTCTTGACTCTGTCTTGACACCGGGTCCAGGCGGGGGAGGAGGAGAGAGTGTAGGTAGATGCTACGCAAGTCTACCGGCACTATAAACCCCTGCGTAAGTCACCGTCTCTGCTCCCATTGCTGCTGCAACTGTGGGGCACACGGTGGACATCATCGAAACCGATGGTCGAACTGTCATATTACGAGGCAAAACTGTTCAATCAACGATAGACCTAGAGAGCTAAAACGTGATAGGTAACCTGAAACATGGGTCTAGTATGCGGGTGCATATGGTGAGGGGGGGGAGGGGGAGAGAAGTCATCCAAGTATGAGAGAACTGGTGCGGCGTGATTTGGAGTGCAACGTGCGGGGAGCATTCAGTCATGCCGGGGAGAGGGGGGGGGCGGGTGGGGGCGAAATGAGAGGGCGGACATGGGAACAGGGTTTCGTCCATAATCGATAATTACCATGGCAGTGCCAGGTTTATCACATGGTCCAGCTGCTTACAGAGTTCTGGTTTCCTCCTCCGTATTGCAGCGGCCTCTGCGAAACGCAAGAGACGCTCGGTCGTCGCCCGAAACAGGACCTTGAATGCAACCATTTGGTCCACCGTATGGCCCGTGTCCAATAGGTGCTTTGTGATTGAGCTCCTGGGTACCTTATTTTCCGCCTTAAGCAGCCACTTCGGCATGTGCTCAGTTGCCCGAGCTGCCAATTGCTTTTGCGTGCGTCCGATGTACTTGCATCCGCAACTACATGTAAACTCATAAATACAGTTTGATGTGGCGTGCATAGGCAAAATGTCTTTAGCTGGTCTAACTGGGATGGCGGTTGTGGTGCTTATGAACAACAATTTAGAGGCGGCATACGTCCTTTCGATAGTGCACCGAAGTCGTCGCTTGATCACGTTTGACACATTATCACCCTTGAAGGGGAGGTAGATGGTCACGGACTTTTTAGGTACAGATATTTATTCAGGAGTTTCTTGTCTGGGATGGCGATATTTATCGATGAATTTCTCCGGATACCCGTTTGCAAGAAAAACGTTTTTTTAGGAAAGTAAGCTCGTCATCGATCGTATCTGAGGAGCAGATTCTGGTGGCTCTATTGAACAGGCACAAAACCAAGTTCCGTTTTCTCTGAATCGGAACGAAACTGAGGAAGTGCATGTATTGTCCTTTCCAGGTGGGTTTTCGATAGATGGATCTCTGAATAGAGCCATCTGCTCGCCTACGCACAAGGATATCCAGGAAAGGCAGTGTGTCATTCTTCTCATGCTCGATCGTAAATTTGATCTTTGCATGTGCTTTGTTCATAGCCTTGAACAGTAGTTCTCCGTCGCCTGGGTTTTTGAATGAGAGGTCTCGAAATTTATGACGTCATTAAATTCTGCATGCTTTGTCGCCTTCGCCTTGTTCAAAAGCAGCAGTTAGTTTAAATGCTCCAATTCGGTTTATAGAAGTTGCGCGAAATGAAAAAACGCTGCGTCTTGGCAAATTGTAAACTGGCAGGAAGTTTAAAATGCCCCCAAAATACGCAGATCTCGTTTTGCTGGAAAGGCAGTGCCTACTGAAAGCAAAGCAGTATTCCGACGTAATGCAAAGCTAAAAAGGCGATCTCGAGGGCACCTGTATAGGTCCAACTCCTTCCCCCCTCCTGTCATCGGTTATTGTAAGAACGCAATTGAAAAGCCGGCCCGACGCCGAAGTGCGCAGGTAGTAATCCAAACCGTAAGTTCAATTCATCATCTCTAGTCGTAACCGCAACCCTAACGCTAAAACTAACCAAAACCCTAACTTCAAATTTGACCCTAAAACTAATTGTTATCATAGAGCGAACCCTACCGCCGACTATTGAGCGAACTGTAACCCTAAAGCTAACGCCAACTCTGGCACTAAGGCTAACCAAGACCCTAACTCAGAAACTGACCCTAGATCTGAAAATAACCGTAACCCTGAAACTCATTCTAACCCAAGCATTAACCATAACCCTGACCTTTAGAACTAATCCCATTCCCAAAACTGACCATAACCCTAAAACTAACCCCAAACCCAAGCCTGACACTATAATTAACCAAAGCCTTAACCCTATAACTAACCCTGACTCTAGTCCGTAAAAGAACCCTACAACTAACTAACTAATCAACGCCCTAACCCTACAACCAATCTTAACCCCCAAAACTAGCAGTAATCTCAAAACTAACTCTAACGCTAAAACTAACTCTAAAACTAACTCCGATCCTAACTTTGTAATTTGGCCTACCACGTACGATAACCCTAGTCCTAGGCTCACCCAAACCCCAGCCACAAACCCATGGACGAAATCCAACCCAAATGGCAACCCTAAAACCGTCTAAACGTCTGCGAAACCCTTATTTGACACGATTATGTCCTTAGCCCCCTCCCTTCAAACTCATACCCTGTCCACCAACGCCCTGCCCTCGGCACAAATCCTATGGTCCTAGTCCCCACCCCAGAAGCATAACAGCAACCTGGAGATCGGCTGACCGGATTCTAACTCGCAGGATTACCTGCCTACGTAAATTATATAAGTAGTTAGCTATGTAGTAACGCAAAGTGGTCCTATTGGTTAGATCCTTACCGTATTTTATGAGAATGGAAAGCCGAGTTGCTGAACATGACAAATCTCTAGCCCATCGGCATGTTTGGCAGTCTTTTTATTCCCCTTTTCCTACGGCTTCCGTCCCGGTTCATAGTCAGGCTCATCTGCTAGGGAAGTGGTCAAGAGTTTCACTTGTCCAATTTAACGTTCTGCAGATTATTAGGTGAGTTCTTGCAGAGCGCCATTCGTTCCCACCCCTGTCTCCGCTCTGTCGCCCCCTGGTGAGAACACCGAACAAATCTGACGAACGTTGTTGAAGGTGTCTTTGTCTTAATTGGTATTGACACGTTGGTGGAATGTAAACTGACTTTAACCGATCAGGTGAATTTATAGGTCTGAATGCAGGACTTCGTTCGCAGCCAAAGCTATAGGCAGGACTTAGTCACTACGAACTGTCGGTCTGGTTCCGTAGAGAAAAGAAAGATTTGGACGCCATCTGAGAGGGTATCGTATTCCGTACAGAAAGCATGGCAAACCAGTTAGAATAAGTTGGCAGCTGGGCGAGAAGACACGTCCCGCGCCGAGGCAGCGGCGACCTGAGCGACAGCTGGGGATGCGTCACAGTACCTTGAGCGAGAGCATGTTTGAGTTGGCCGGTTTGGACAGACGTGATTGGCCAAGAACCAGACTGTCACTCGTGTGCACGTGCAAATACCCGCGAGAGGCGTAGTGTTTCAACAGAGGCCATTACATGTGCCTTCTTTCCAGACTGGAGCTCGAGTTAAAAGTGCGAACGGAGGAAAAAGGGTAATTTGAGTGGATGAGAAAAGTACCGACACTAGTGTTATCACCAACGTGGGTGATTGTGGCCGCCAGGAAGGAGCTAGAATAACGTGGGCTACTTGAGAAAGCCGATACTTGAGTTGTTCATTTGAACCTTGGTGGCAGATTCGTATCTGGTGGCGATATTTGCAGGTTTGGGTTAGACTACGTCGCTGTTGATAGGGGAGGTAAAGTTTTGGATATCGGGAACTATGGCTTCGATTCGACGGGCTATAGGTTTGATGACATCCATCCTGACTCATGACAGGTGTCAGCGTTTTGCAATCTGCGGATGGTTGACACAGGAAGATCAGCGGAATGAAGTGTGGTGGGAATTTTGTGATGATTGAGCTTAGCTACGTTCGGCAGTTGCGTTTCGACCACGTCGGGGTCACCAATGTTAGAAATATAATGCCCACGACTCGTAACCTTTGTGTTACGAGCCTTTACCGTCAGTTATTATCCACCAACCCGACAAAGAACGCCAGTTAGAAAAGCCAGTAGGTGATTAAAATTAATATTCAAGAGTCCAACTACCTGATTTCCAAGCGCATACGTCAATTAGGAAAGTTCTGCAGACTTGTGTCCGTTACATAAAAATAACTGGCACATCTAAGGAAAAGTGACCAGACTACTAAAGACAAGTCTCTCCGGCACCTCAACACTGGACCCCCCTTTTTGTCTTGGAACTCCTGTAGAGAGCGCTAGCACGCGGCGGTATAGCAACCGAGCACTAGTAATCACGAGCTGTTATCATCAGGAGCAAGGTAGACTAACAACTATTTGTGGCACGTTTGTGGTCATCAGCCATCTTTGCCGAAGCCTCAGGGCGGAAGGACCAGGTCCTTAGTCGAATATTCTAATATTCTCTCTCCCCCTTTTTCTATCCCTCTCACTCTCTCTCCCTCTCCTCCGCTCTGCTAGTAGGGCATGACCGAATCGGACTGCCGTTTTGAAATACTGCCAGCTCCTTGTTTACTGGAAGTTCCTATGAAACTCATTTTGGAAACCTGTTACTGCCGAGACACCTGTATGGAAACAGAATTTACGCATAAGTAGAGAAACATGAGTAGAGGGAACATGACTCCCTTTGACTCAAATTGTTGGGCTGTATTCTCCTAGCTGCGTGTATGGCTTCTCGTGCAAAGGAATGAACTACGCCTGCCCTTACATTTATGCCACAACGTACCTGCGGCACCACATGCCTTCTCGACCAAAGTCAGGAATTGAAGGGCTTACATATAACCACCTCTACTAAAACTCATGCCCACTTGGTTGCCACCTACCTTCTTTGGGTAGAGGTCTGCATCTGCCTATGGGCCTCGACAATATGCTCACCGTATTCACCTCCTTGGACTACAAGGACTCAATCGATGTTTGGCCACCTATCCCGAAAATGAAAGCATGCTCACCTTCCATGTTTGTCGGATGATAGCGTAAGCCTGTCCACAGAAAAGGAGACGAGGTAACTTTAGACGAAAATTCAGTGGGTTGTACTTCTATTAATGTTGTATATTACTTAATCCGCATGACGTACTGTTGTACCGGAAAGATGCAATACTTAAACGATGCAGGGTCCTGTAGGAGGTGCCTGGTTTAGGAACGCACTCGTTGACATTGGGTGGCACTATTGTTGGGTTCTTTCGTCGGTACCGTTCTCCCAGGTATAGTAAACAGCACTCAACAATGACCTTTAAGTGGAGTTGGAGACTGATGTGTCCATAGTGTTATCAAAGGGTGAGTTTCAGTAGACGTCACCCCTTTTCTGCCACTGTCTCTGATGATGGATTCAAGTGAGAATCCGAAACGTCAGGCGAATAAACCCCTTGTTCCAGTGATCGCTATTTCTTCTGATCGGGATAGTTATATTTCATTTCAACCTCGTGAAAATTCATACTGATTGCAGAGCGCTCTACGTGGACAATAAGGTTTCATACCGCACTCAATTCGCAGTTTACGCGCATACTCTTATGCCCCGTGGCCCTAACTTGGGCTCACGCCCTCCCCCTCCCGTCTGTACGACGCTCCACCCTCCGTTGCTGCACCTCATCTGCAGTCTTAAACGATTGGCTTAGCAAGATTCCTCTAAGGCGGGCCGTGGAATGCAGTTATTTTTCAGCTCCACAATTACGGCGTAGTTGGTGAATTGTTGCTCTGTGCGATCGTGCAGGCCTCAGCTTCTTACGATTGGATTTCCGATCTTGTGCAGCAGTATGGCTCGCCGTTACCCCGCTTAAATCCTTATTCGTTGAAGTTCCTCTAGTGCTAGCTGTGCACATTTCAAACACTAACCATAGGTCACTGAGGTTAAGAGCGGTAATCTACTTGTCCTCAGTCTAAGCACGCGACCAAAGCCCTTCGGGTTTCTGTGAGACCAGTTCTGCAAATCGTTTGCGGGTTTTGTAAAACTCCGGCCCCGAGAATGCTTTCTCCGTTCCCCTGCATTGGCTATTCTAGTGTGATCTTTCGCGATGTGAAATTAATTTGATTTAACAACCTGACAGGGGCCTCGAACTTTTTTGTTTACTTCACTGGCGTCAAAAACGATATTCTGGCAGTTTTTTTTAGCTCTAACACTAAAATTAGCCAAACCCTTACTCTTAAACTAACTCCGATCCTAACTTTGTAATTTAGCCTACCACGTACGATAACCCTAGTCCTAGGCTCACCCAAACCCCAGCCACAAACCCATGGACGAAATCCAACCCAAATGGCAACCCTAAAACCGTCTAAACGCCTGCGAAACCCTTATGTGACACGTCTATGTTCTTAGCCCCCTCCCTCCAAACTCATACCCTGTCCTACCTAGGGGAATTGATCTCTTCATTAAATCTCGCTGCAGCTTTCTTCCGCTGAACTTGTTCACTTTTCTTAATTATGAATTTGCGCTTTCAAAACCTAGGTCGTTGTAGTTTTTATGCTATGCTACTAAACACCGCACACATGGCATGTCGCGACTGCGTTGGCAGTGTAGCGATCCGCAAATGCATGTCTCTTGTACATCCATCTGTGCGGCGGATCAATAACTTGGTTGTAGTGCAAGACCTTGGCTACTGGCCAACGCCTTAACAGTCCTTCAGCTGCATCTTTCTCGTTGAGCCCTTCATCTTCCTGACCCGGATTAGGACTTCAACCAAGCGACCACACCATTAAGGGAATAAAAATAAGCAAGCAGCTTTCATGCTGACCGAGAACGCTTGAATGAAGTAGATTTCCAGACCTGATGAAGTCTGCCGCTGACATGACTGCGCGCTGATCTCGGTGGGTAGCTATCCCGCCAAAAATTCGGTTAGACTGAACTGCAATCAACGCCGGTATGCCTCAGGAACTGCAGTCCGTGACCGATCTCGTGAAATGTTAGCCAAAATTCAGGAATACGTTTCCGATTAGGAAGGATTACTTAAGTGGGGTTGTTATACAGATTATCATGCAGCATAACCCTATAACATTTCGGACTCACCAGGATGTCGGCTTTTAAATGCATTTCTTTTTGACACCCTGCAAAAACCACACTCGGTAAAAAATGACTACTTAAGTAGCATGCATTTTTCTACTGATTTTTCTGTGGTCTTATAAATTCAAATATATTTTGCAGAAAACATGCACAAAAATATGCCTTCTGTTGCTCATTTGGAAGGAAATCACATTTTCTTCATATTTTATGCCCGAACACTGTGTATATTTAGGTTTTAATAAGGTTTCTAATTATGAGATTTTTAGGACCCTGCGGTGTCCATGCATGCAAGCCCGCACATGTCCGTTTACTAATGCTCCCCATGAAATGTACAACACAGTCCGGATCTATTGCAAAATTTCATGAAGTCTATGTGGTATCTTCTTAAAAGCATAGAGGAATATATGATTTTCCTTACGCGGAAAGCATGCGCCTTGTAGACTGAAATTGCCAAACGCTGAGGCAGTGGCGGATCGGCATAACAACCCCACTTAAGTAATCCTTCCTACTCGGAAACGCATTCCAGAATTTTGGCTAACATCTCATGAGATCGGTCACGCACTGTAGGACCTCCCGTATTACAGGTGGCCTTGCGCGCTAAGCTCCATCAGGGGTTGGGGTTTAAATTAGGACACCAAAATAGTTATCCTCCGAATGTAGCGTGGGGTTATCTGTAACAAGGGGGGTCTATGTTTTCGTGTCCAACTCGCTGGCGGCAGTGTGTCCCGTGAACACGACAACTCAAAACACCAATCAAACTCCATTGTTGAATACTGTTTGTAATGCCTATGCGAACGGTGCCAGCAGGATCCCCCACGAATACGATAATCACATATTAATGCACGCATTTCTAAACTCTGTGCCTTTTACTGAGTCCTGAGTCGTTTAGGTATTGAACCTTGTCCAACTATGCGCCATTATGATTAAATATTGGGTAGGACTGACTTACATGGCCCCCTGAACAGGACATGAGAACAAGAACTGCCTGCAATACGGGTGGCTTCGATCCAACTTCCAGTGAAATTAGGGTTAGTTTAGGGATTAGGTTTAGGGCAAGATTTAAGTTAACGGTATGATAAGTCACGATCAAGTTTAGGGCTAAGATGGGGGCTAGTGTTGACTGCAGAGTTAAGGTTTAGGGCAGGGCTAGGGCCAGTATTAGGGGAACAGTTTAGTTTTATATTAGGGTTATTATTGGGGTTAGCACACGGGAATATTTTGCCCTTTTTGGAATTACGCGAAGGTCCACCTTTATAACTTACGCGGGGCGTGCCTCTCCCCATGTCCTTTTTAGGGGTCCACATAAGTCAATCCTGTCAAATATTGCGTCGTATCAATAGAGGCGCAGCCCCAATTGTTTGCCATATGAAGATACCACGTTCTCTTTTCTGTGGTTTATGGCCTACGTTGCTATCAAGCAAGTAACTAAAGTGAGCCTACTTTCGAATGTATCATTTTCGGACTATATAGCTTAACCTCGGCTGAACCACTGTGGTACAGGGAAGTGTATATGGTGAACATGCTGTCGAAATATAACTTCCGAGATAGATAAACAAATCCATACGTCTACCCAGGGCAAGTGAAATATTCCTTTCGGCACTGCGTAAAGTGAATGACAGAATGGGATGGGACCGCCGCGAGCGATAATATCCACCGTGCGTCCCACAGCGTTGTTAGCACAGGGACGGTGACTTGCTTGTGAATTCGTTTGTAGTGGCAGTAGACTTGTGCAGTACCTACCGCGCGCGCTCTCTCCCACCCATCCGAGTCCGGTGTCAAGACAAAGACAAGAAGACCGAAGTCAGGAGAGGACGCGTTGGCTGACAAGGTGAGGGGGGCGACTCGGATCCCAAAAGAATGGCAGCGCCATAAAGGCCACATTAGGAAGAGGCCGTTGCAGCCTGTCTTGAAAGGAAAACCGGAGCTGTGGTGTCAGTTGGCAGCTTTCCAAGCCACGGCTTTTAGCGCACCTGGCTAGTTTAAAAGCGCCTCAGGTTTGAGGAAGAAGATGGGCTCACCGGAACAGGTTTATTTAGATGCTGACGTTTCGAAGAGCTGGCTCGACTCTCCATTGTCAAAGCGTAAAATACACTTAATCGACCAGAGATCCCAAGTGGTGTGTCACGTTGGTCGGCCTCGTGCTCATCGATTTTCTGTCCTCTCGCTGTCTCGGCCTCTCGGCGGATGGTTGTCGGGCGTTTTGTCAGCGTGCTTTGTGAGTCACCCTTCCGTTAGGGGGGAGGGGGAGTGATTGAATCAGTGTCGGGTGGTCGGTCTGGCGATTCTTGTTCTTCTTCAGCGAGTAAACTCGCCGTCGGGCTGTCTCCGTATAGTCTGTTTGGTCCTGACCTCTACGATTGTGATGACGTAAAACTTTGTAAGCTGCAGGAAGGTCCAGATGCCTGTTGATGGAGTGGGCATCGGAGAACCACGCCTCGAGAGTTGACCGTTCTGCATTTTGTGTTGTCCCCGCCTAAGATGGTAGCTCGCCACAGATCGAAATTATGCCCAGTTTCTCCAACGTGTGTTGCTAATTGAGAGTTGTTTATGGTGCTAGGAGACTTCGGGCGTCGAAGCCCCGTCGTAATTTCCAAGATGGATGGATCTTTGGTTCTTTTCTGGGGTTACGTGATCTTTCTGATAAGATATACTGGTGCTAACGCCTGTCTAGGTATAAGAGCCCCCTGTACGCCGTCACTGATTACTCAATGCGAGCGACCAAAGGTGAGGGTCGGACGTCGTATGCGGTCAGAGCGGAATTAACACCTCGTACAGTGTGGAACCTCCGGCCACCCTCAGTCCATCGTTGTGACTGTCTGTTCGCTAGCATCACGCATTTGAGCTACCAAGTTCATTTGTAACTTCATTCGCCTCGTGCCGGTGATGCAACTTATTCGGTTGTCCGTTTGCATCAGTGTGCCGTAAAATTCCCCACTCAGCTTATTTGGACGAGCAAGCGCGTCTCAGATCTGTCACTAATTATGCCGCCAACCGATAGCAGTTTCAATGTTTTGAAGAAAGAGACGCGATCGCTCGGGCGAGAGCTTTATTGGCCTGACGTTTCGGATTCCTGCTCGAACCCATCATCGGAGACAGAAGCAGATAGGGGTAATTCATGCACAAGGAATTGCAGTATTTATAGGAGGCAGTCGCCATGCTATCGCCTACCTATGAACATTCACGGCTCCCCCCTTCATCCGAGATCGTCGCACTTGGTGTGCTAATTATTTGATGGCCGACATTCGCGTCGTTAATTGCTGCAATTTCATCACGTGCTTCGGATGTTGGTGTGATGATGGCTCGAACATCTGATCCACCGACCCTGGCGTTGGGAAAAGTGTTCACTTGTGTGCTCCCCGCGTGGCTAATTACTCCGCCTAGGCGAAATCTCAGCACCGAGTATGGAAGGGAAAGTTCATTGCACTTGTTAATGGACTGAGGACCAGTAAACCATGATTCAAGTAGCTCCCGGCCCACGCGGTTGTCACTTCTTGCGAGAATTTCGGCCTCGTCGAGTTTGAATCTGTGGCGAAATCTCGTCGAATGAGCTGCAACTTGAGAGCTGGTGTCATTTCTCCGCACCGCTGCAGCGTGTTCGGTCATTCGCGTTCGGAGCTGTCTTCCGGTTTCTCCGACGTAGTTCCTTTGTCCGCAACTGCACCAGATTCGATAAATGACTCCAGACGTTTCTAGCCGTGGCAGTGGGTCTTTCGGTTTCATTACCTGACGCCTAATAGTTGGTTCATGCACAAGGGGCTGCACTATTTATAGGATGCAGTCACCATGCTACCGCAATGTTTCAATATTTGTTCTTCGGCGGCGGTCTTTGCAATTGCTTGACAGTTACGCGGAAGTGCCATTGATGAATGAATTAACAACTTTGTCGACAAAAGCAGGAAACGTCGAAACGATTCTTCATGCCCGGCGTCAGCCAAAACCCAGTTTTAGATCCGTGTGCAGTTGACCATTCAGCCACAGTCTCCTCCTGTCGACTCACGTCCAAAACATTCGAGTAAGTGGGCGTATGACTGATCAGCGATGTCAGGTGCATCCTGACTGACCAATCCAGTCTTCCTTTGCCTTGCCGGCTTCAGACGGGATGGGTGGTTGCGCCTTCACGGAGGAACTGTGATGCAACTGTTCATCATTAAAGTCACTTCTCCCCTCCCCACGCCCCGGACTTCTCATGTGGCGTACAGTAAGCCAACCCTGTCACAATATGCTTATAGGTGCAAATGTGAGGGCCATGAAGTGGCCAGTCCGCCCTCTCTTCCGCCTACAATTGTGTCTCTGAGCTCAACCAAGTCAAAAATATCCCTTCCATGACTGTCTGAGGCATTCGCATAAAAACACTGTGGAGGGAGATCGCAGTGTGCACTGTTTCTCCCCGAAAGGAGCGTTCATCGGCCTCACGGTCTTCGCAGGGCATACTAGCGCGCCCGTTGTCTGGTCAGAGGCATAGAGGTAGGCATAACTAAAAGCCGACATAGCTGCCGTCTTATTCTCCGCGCGTATTTGTCTGTCTGACTTTGGTGAGGCTTGGACGTCGTCGGTGTGGTGTGCAATGGACAGGAACCTCTGAAAACCGTGGGTGAATCAGGTATAAAACTATACGCTCCCCTTAGCCCTTTTGATCCAATTTTTTGATTTTCGACTGCCTAGGTGTTCACGTCTTATTTTTCACCTGCACCAAAAAACGCCTCGGCAGTTTTGGATCACCACACCCGCTCTCTTGCTTTTTAGCTCATCATGACACTGCTGGCCGGCTACGTATGGCGTACTCTTCCCCGAATGGTCCTTCTGTAGATTTCAGCGTCCCTTCCCCCCAAGCATTACTTTTCTAGCACATTCTGCTTGCCCAATCAAAGTACTTCTTAACTTTGGTCTAACCTATTCAGCCGCCTACTTCACAAGTACGCATGATCTGTATATTCTAACATTCCCTGCTATTTAATGCATTTGTGATGTTTACTTCTACACTCGAGTCCTCCCTCCGTGCTTTTCATTTTTGCTTTATGATCTTTGAACCCGTGATATCCTCTTCGTCATTAAAATTCTTTTGCTTGTCACTTATTTGCATTGAAAACGGCCGTACTACGCTGCCTGCTTGCCCATGTATTTCGACTTTTATTCAACTCTCCCCGCCGTATTCTTTCTGTTTCTACGACAGCAGATTACAGATGAATTAAAATGCTTCAACCCCGCTGGCTGTCAGCGTTTAGGAGCAACCTTTCCGACCTGTTGCTGCAATCAATGACAGTTTGCAGGCAACGTGCCTCACGTAGGTATGAAAAGTTTTCAAGGGGACCCTAGGCTTATAGTCCGGTTTACGAAAAATTGGGTGTCGCCGCCAGCTCAATCGGGTTAAGTTGGTTTACGCAAAGGCGGATTGTGGGCACTTAGGGGATGTCGGCACGTACGCTACGTATAAAGCATGCATGCATATGTAACAATGCCCCTCCTTTGAACAGCATTTATGCGGGTCAAGCCTTCATTACCAAAAGACGACTGGAACACTGGATGCTCTTGCATGTATGTCGGTTATGCTCGTGGACCCCTAATGAAGTGCATCAGCAAACATAAACTGACTTTATACCGATACCATCGAAGTCATCTGCACCACCCACGTTAAATGCGTGGGGGTTTCTCGAGGCCTCACACCGGAGTGAGGTCGGTATCAATGCGCACGTCGATCCGGATGCTCATTACGGGGGCCTAAGGGCGTGTATCTCACCTCTCACCGACAGACCATTTGTTTTTATAGCATTAAGTTAAATGTCCTATTGACTTACAACCACCCCTCCCCTAGCAAGTACACACCATGGTCTTCCTGTCTGCTTCCGTATTCTCCGCACTCACCATCTTGTGGGGGGGATCACACTCATTTGACGGTGGGCCCTTCACCTCAGAGCAGATATTTGCCCTATGGAACTTGGAGTACTTCCAGATAGACGCAGCTAGTAGTCCTGCTTAGTAGCCTTTTAACTTGTCAAGTGCTGCCACTAGAATTTGGTCTCAAAAGTATTCGACCCCGTTTGTTCTACTGGGTGCTTTATCACGGGGTCTGGTGTGATTGCTTTACCCACGTGCGCCGGAAAATCTCCAAATCGCTTAGGGACGTAAATGTCCTGTCTGACTTGGGGGCGAGAACTTACCAAAACTGCGCGATCCATAGCCAGCGAGTTATCTTTACAGTCCGACTGTCGTTGCAGACGATGTCTACTGTGTGCTCCACACCAGCACGTCCCGTCGATCTCGTCCACGGACGGGAACGTAGTCCAGCAGCTGCCATCATTGCGATACATCGATGCAAGGCTTTGAAAGGAACCTTGACACATTTATGCTCCAAAACGAGCAAGAGCGATGAGATACCGAGCTCAATCCCCGAGACTCGCCCCCAATTTGTCATATTACTATGGACGGAAAAGGCGGCTTTCGGTTGTGGGTACTTGTTTGTGATCTACTATTTGAACCGGATGTAAAGTTACTGACGCCCAATCAGAGGAGAGTATACGTTACTCAAAAAATAAAGATGTAGAGAATGCAACCGTCACGACAAATTCGAAAAAGCAGTTTTGGTAATTGAAGATCATAATGGATTAACACATCTAAAATGGCCATAAAACATATACCCTTCTTTGAGAATTTTCAGTTTTAATCGGGGGTTTGAGACAGTAACGCCTGCGGCTAAGTAGAGATCACTCTGTTGTAATAAACAGAGGGTCACTCAATCATGATGAAGAATCCGGCCAAAGGCTGTGACGAAATGAATAGGATGACATTTAGAGGACAACTATCCCGCAGGCCAGGCTGACTTATCAAGAAACTTGTAGTGTAAACGATAATTAAAAAGCGGTCGAGCCAGGGCGGGGAAATTATACACATCCAGAGACCATTCCTCTGGTGAGAGCCTATTACCCCAACGGCTTAGGCGTGAGGAACATCAGTAAAAATCGATCAACTCCGGCCGGCCTTTGCATTCAATCTCCTGAAATAGTCAGACGCCAGTATGCCAGAGGCGCTCAGGCCAAATCGATATTTTTGTATACTAATGCGCAAATTCTCTTTTCGAAGATCAACGAATTCAGAGCGCTAGTTTCAGAACGAAGCCCCGACGTCATTGCCATAACGGAATTTTGGCTTAAAGGCGATGTCGTGGATGTCTAGATTTCGATACGGGGTTACCAGTTCTTTCGCAGAGACCGTCAAAATAGACAGGGCGGTGGGGTAGTCGTATATGTAAGGATAGGAATTTTGGTTGTTGAACGAGCCTACACCCTCTCTCTTCAATATTGAATCTGTCTGTATAAAGATACAGAAGAGTAACGCACTAAGGGTAGAATTCCTGGTGGTTTATAGACCAACAAACCTTCCGAGTGCAGCTGACGAGTCGCTCCTACATTTAGTCAAGAAAGCAGCTAGCCGCCAAGAGGTATTTTTTGCTGGGGATTTAAACGCACCTGTAAAAGAGTGGGGAACTATGACAGTTAACGGTGGGCCAAATTCATTCAGCAAAAAAGCTAAAGGACCTCCATCTGGCACCGCATGTAAAGGCACCAACAAGATTTAGAGTGAACCAGAGAGCCAATTGCCTGGACCTAGTTCTCACTAAAGACTTCTCTAATATTGACAAAGTATGTTCTAGTGCACCTCTCGAAAACAATGATCATACTACGCTACTATGGGATTGGTCGTTCTTCTCTGAACGCCAGAAGAGAACGAAAGGCCAGCCTAATATAAGGAAGGCAGACTTCAAGACGATGAACGAAGTGATGTCCGTGAATATGGACCGTTTGTTCAATGGAGATCCGGGGGACGACTGGAGATCGATTAAAATGATTCTACTTTGGCTCTGTTTTCCGTCTAAACTAAAAACGACAGTTCGGTCTGCCTGGTTAACCAGGGACCTGAATAGACAGTACGGAAGGAAAGCGAAAGATGTAAGAGATTTAGAGAAGCTGGATCAGCAGTGCACCTCGAAGAACTTTGTCGTCAACGAAATGCAGTCAAAAGTGTATCCATCAGTCACGGAAGGGGTATGAATCCAGAACTATCCAACAAGCTGAACAGAAGCCCAGAATTTTATTTCACTATATTTACAGTAAACTGAAAAACAAGGACCCGATCGCAATCCTGAAGGAGGATGATGGAAACAAGGAGAAAGCCGAACACTTGGAACAGTACTTCGCCTCTTTTTTTCTCCAGAGAAATAAATTTTTGTAGTCGCAGTGCCAGGAACGCTGTTGAGACCTCTGGCCCCTTGTGTGACTCTTTAATCTCCCCGGAATTCTTTCGTGCAAAGAGACCTATAAAACCTCAAAGAGGTCGTCGGGTCCGGACAATTAACCGGCCAAATTCTTGAAAGAATTGGCAAACGAACTCTCTAAACCACTAGCGCACATCTACCGCACGTCATTCGAATTAGGGAGGCTGCCATTCGAATGGAGGACAGCAAATATCTTTGCAAAATAGAAGGTTGGGGCTCGCACTAATGCTAACCATTACCGGTCTGTTAGTATCACCTGCATCTGCTGTTAAATAATGGCAGACATAGTTAGGGAAGCAACGGTGATGTTACTAGAGCACAACGGCTCACTCTCAGCGCTGCAGCACGGTCTCAGACAGAACCGCTCATGCCTTTCCTGCGGATTGCTCTCCACTAAGCAGTAGACTCGAAAACTGGACGAGGATGGTAGGGTCGAAGTCGTCTACACGGACTTCGAATAGGCGTTCGACAGCGTCCCACAATCTACAAGTGGTCTGAAATTAGGATAAGAGGAAAACTGCTGACATGGATTTCAGATCTTCTTACAGGAATATCATAAACCACGTGTGTTGATGCTTCGAAATCAACTCCTACCCGCGTTCTAAGTGGTATCCCCGCAGAGCTCCGTCTCGGAGACGTTGCTTTTCATAGTTTGCATGCACAACTGTTGCAATTCGGCGTTTTCGTCAATCTTATAGTCCAGGCCCTGATGGTGTCCCTGTAAGCATTTTAAAAGCCGATGCAAACACGATCTTCCCATCCCTCTTACGCAAGATATTTAATCTTGCTCTTGAAAGTGAAACTTATCCTACCTTGTGGAAGGAATCACACATTTTGCCCATTCCTGAGCACGGCAAATCTACATCATTTGATGAATTTCGGCCAATAAACACCCTCCCCGCAGGTTCGAAGATCTTAGAGACATTGATCAAGGATAAGATGATGTGTCACTTAACAGAGAATAACTTACTGAGTGCTGCTCAGCGTGGATTCCTCAAAGCTCGATCTTGTGACACCTGTAAACTCACTTTCTTTGATTATGTTCTCCAATCTAGGGACCATGGTTTTGCTCTTTACACAGTATATTTCGATTTCACTAAGGCTTTTGACCGTGTTGACCATGCTCTTCTCTTCTTGAAATTGTCCTCTTTCGGAATAGGTGGCAAACTTTTGAATTTTATATCC